TTGTACCACGAGCGCTCTCTTGTCTGTTCCCTAGCCTCCTGATGCACGCCTAAGATAACCAATCCAGCCAGGGCACCCGCTCATTATCCCGATGACAACCCGGGGCTTTACGCTTGCTGACAACTTCTGTGGTCCCTCATCTCAGGTGACTCTGAAGGCTAAAAACCATCCTCTGATCTGCTTGGCAAACCTACACCCTGTTTTCCAGAACTAATGAACACATTCTCCCAGAGACTGTTGCGACTCTTGTGTTTTATGTTGGGTTGGGAAGGGCAGCAATATCCCCTAGTGGAATGTTCTGTCACACTCAGAGCAGGTGGCTGGACATCTCTGTCCTTGGAATGAGTACAAATTACAGCCATCTGAAAACACATTTACTGTGAAACGCAGAAGATTATTAAAACCTTTTTGTTGGCTGTAACGTTTTATAAGAGGTCAATTCACTACGTGCAACATCAACACTAATGATCAGAGAAGATAAGTCACAGGCTGGGTAAGCAGAGGTCTTTCTCCTCCCCCTGAGTTGCCAGGTTAAAACAAACATGGCCTAGCAGGCAGGAGGCGTGAGCAAACACAGCTGTGTTTAGAATGCGCTCATGTCTTGGTCTATTTTTCCAATGTTTGTGCTTTGGAAGGAGTGTTCTGCTTGAAATGTGCTTCTCCTGAGTTTGAACTCCCATGTGTGGGAGAGGAAAATTATCCCACCTTCGTTTCCAGATGTCTCAGAGTTGTTCTTGCCCTCTTAAAGCAGGTTCTTTTTCTTGGTAACGTCCATTTTCTGTGTTTTGGAACTTCCTTTTTCTGGAAGAGATAATCGTGGGGGAATCTTCTGACCCATTTGCTTGCAAATGGCAAAAAAAATGTTTGATATTCTTGGAGCTCTTGCCACATGAAGCAGGGTGATTTTCAAATTCTGTTTGATCCTTCTGAAAGCTAGCTAGCCTTGTTCTCTGAAAAATTGTAGCACAAGTAGAGAAAATGGCTCTAATTTCTGACCATTACTTCACATTTTTAAAAATCTGGAAACACCTTTATTGATAGTTTAGGACAGTTGCACACACATACAAGGACAAATACAAGACAATGACATGTAGAATTGTTGCACATGGCCTAATATTCTCATCATCTCTTTTATCACTATCTGCCCCAACCTCCTCATAATCCTTCTCTAGGGCAGACATATCCTCATGGGCCTCAGAGAACAAACCCTCCTCTATGCCCTCATCCACATACCAGTGCACAAAGGCATGCTTGGCATACATCAGATCAAACTTGCCATCTAGGTGAGCCCAGGCCTCAGAGATGGCTGTGGTGTTGCTCTCTGGACCTTGGCCAGGTATCCACCAGGTACCACGGTGGGAGGCTGGTAGTTAATGCCAACCTTGAAGCCAGTGGGGCACTAGTCCACAAGCTGGATGCTGCGCTTGGACTTGATGGTGGCAATGGCAGCATTGACATCTTTGGGAACCACCTGACCACGGTACAGCGGGCAGCAAGCCATGTATTTACCATGGCAAGGGTCGCAATTCACCATCTGGTTGACTGGCTCAACACAGGCTTTGGTGATCTCTGCTACTGTAAGCTGTTTATGGTAGGCTTTCTCAGCAGAGATGACAGAGGCATATGTGGCCAGAGGGAAGTGTATTCGAGGGCTAGGCACTAGGTAGGTCTGGAATTCTGTCATTTCAACATTTAGGGCTCCATCAAATCTGAGGGAAGCAGTTATGGAAGACACAGTCTGGCTAATGAGGCGGTTAAGGTTAGTGTAGGTTGGATGCTGAATGTGAAGGCCATATAACAGATGTCGTAGATGGCCTCGCCTACCGTGAAGGCACAATCAGAGTGTTCCAGGATAGTGATGGTGGAGCGGATGGTGGAAACCTGGGGGCTGGGTAGATGGAGAGCTCCAGCTTGGGCTTCTTTCCATAATCATGAGGGAGGTGAACCCAGAGCCGGATCCCCCACTGAAGCTGTAGAACACCAAGAAGCCCTGAAGCCCTGTGCACTGGTCAGCCAGCTTGCAAATTCTGTCCAAGACAAGATCAGTGATCTCCTTGCCAGTGGTGCAGTGGCCACGGGCATAGTTATTGGCAGCATCTTCCTTGCCTGTGATGAGCTGCTCAGGGTGGAAGAGATGGCGGAGGGTACCAGTGCGAACTTCATCAATTGCTGTGGGTTCCAGGTCTATAAACACTGCCTGGGTCACATGTTTGTCAGTTTGAAGTAGACTGGGAAAGAAAGGCAAAAATAACACACAGAAATGTACACACACGCCGGGCGTTGGTGGCGCACGCCTTTAATCCCAGCACTTGGGAGGCAGAGGCAGGCGGATCTCTGTGAGTTCGAGACCAGCCTGGTCTACAGAGCTAGTTTCAGGACAGCCTCCAAAGCCACAGAGAAACCCTGTCTTGAAAAACCAAAAAAAAAAAAAAAAAAAAAAAGAAATGTACACACACGTACATCTACATACATGTGTGTGTATGGACAATGCTCATATTTGTAAAGTTTTACAAAAGGATGGTCAACTCTGACACTGTTTTGCACCAGGTTTTGAAGCCCTTCCCTTGCCTGTAGGGGTGGCTTGGGTGGCAGAGTACCCATCAAGACAAGCAGCTGCATGCAAGAGTCCTAAGATGTCCCCTGTGGGGCATCAAGGCCCAACCACACAGCATGGTTGGGGGCCTGGCCCCAGAATATTACAAACCGAGCTGGGTAGGAGGCCACAGAGTGACCTCATTGGATCTATAAATAGTCTACTGCAAAGAGACGGAAAAAAAAACCCCACCTGGGATGGTGTTAGTTAATGTTAGTCCCTTTCTCTCTGTGAGAGATGCCCTATTAGGACATGTTTCATTAAAGAGAGAGAGAGACATAAAAGAAAAGCACACGTTTGCTGGGCTGGAGTCCTACAGAGGGACCAGAGCTGGCGGGGTTCTTCCTTTGCAGCTAGAGGCCTGGATGCTGAGCAAGACACAGCTGATGCCCTCCTCCCCTCCTCCGTCTCCAGGCTCCTCTCCTTTCTCTTTCTTCTGGTTTTAAGTCTTACATCCTTAAAAAATTTACATTTTTATCTTGTTTTTAAAAGTGTGTGTGTGTGAGATAGAGATTAGAGATAGAGATAGATAGAGAAATGGCAAGCGTGGATGTGTGTGTGAGTTCAGGGTGTGTGCGTGTGTGTGTGTGAGCATGTATTCCACACAACACATGTGGAGGCCAGAGGACAACTTTGTGGAGTTGGTTCTCTCCTTCTGCCTTTATGTAGGTTCTGGGAATTGAACTCAGATCTCCAGGCTTGCTCAGTGAACAACATCGGTGCTGGCTTGAGATCTCATGTTTTTTTAGTGAACAAATATCTGCATCCAGGAAACTGGGAGGTGTGGGATTTTGGCTTCGTTGGCCTTGTATCTGAGAATTGTCTATCAGTTTGTGAATGAATGAAAACCAATGAATGGATTAAACTGATTGGAGAGGCTGAAGGTTAGGGGCATAACCTTCAAGTGTGACCTTGGGGCAAGCTCACTTCAGGGTTTTAGCATAGTGCTGTTGAAGGTAGCATGAGAGTTGCTTAGGTAAGCCAGGAGGGCCCCTCTGCTGCTTTCTGGCCGTGGGGGGAAGGGAACATCCCTGATAGTTAATGTGGAATCAATACCCATTTCTTCTCTGGACCCAAGTGTATTATTTTAATTCTGGGTGTGGGGAGATCCTAGGCATTCCAATTAACAACTCAGGGTTTTTTTTTTTTTGCCCTATATAGAGTGTAAGAAGCTAACCATAGCAAACTTAAAAGGGAGAGAAAAAGGAAAAAAAAAGCTATGAAAAACAGAAAGTGTCAAAAGGCAGAAATCTTGTTGCCCTAAGGCAACGTTAGCTGTTTTTTTTGTGTGTGTGTTTTTGTTTTTTGTTTTTATGAAGCACAAAATAGGTAGGATTAGATGCTATCTAAAGAGAGAGGTCTTTCAGGAGTGATGTGTGACCAGAACCAGGGGCCTCAAGCCACACAAGCCAGCTAAGTAGATCAGAACCCTTCATTACAGAAGCTGAGGAGGGACTGATGAGATCGATGGAGCTTGTTATTTGAAGATCAATAGTTCTAACTTATTAACCAACTGGGTCCCAGTGACTTCCTCTAACACTCCAATTCTACGTGGCCGTGTTACGGTTAGCCTTCATTGTCGGCTTGGCTGGATCTAGAAGCACCTGGGAGACAAAGCTCTGGATGTGCCCTTAACTTTTAAAAATTTACATTTGTTTGTTTATTTTGTGTGTGTGCATGCAAGCGCACTCTTGTCAGGATACCCATGTGGAGGCCTGGAGGCCACCTGAGCGCTAGCATTCTTGCTCTGCTGACTTTCTGACTTGGCCAGTTCCCTGACGCCTACCACATGCCCTCTTTGCCTAGATGGACCACATTGCCTTCAAATTCTGAGCCCAAAGATGTCCTTCCTTCAGTGGCTTGTCTCAGGGGTTTCGTTGTAGTCACAGGGTGACTGACAGGGCCAAGTGCCGCTCTTCTCACTTTGTAGGACGGAGACAAAGGCTCACATGTCCGTCCGTGGGACAAAGGCTCACACGTCCGTCCGTGGAGAGAGACTACTTTCTTACTTAACTGTTAGCAGTAATTGAGCACTTGCAGTGTTCCGGGCTAGGCTTCAACCTCCTTATAACAACCGGGGTGCAGGAAAGACCTCACCCTTTCTATGGAGCAGAAGAGGGATGGGATGGGGGGCATGGGAGGATGGGAAGGAGAGGGAACTGGGATTGATTTATAAAACAATATTGTTTCTAATTTAAATAAAAATGCAAAAAAATGAGAATCGGAGCACAGTCAATCATGGTGACATCACGATGGTGTGGTCTACTCTCACACATTTATTTTACAGTCCATGAGATGGAGCAAGAGACCAAGAAAATCTTCTAGAACCACACAGAAAATGGGCAGGCAAGAAGTTAAACCAAGTTTGTCTGACTCCCTAAGCTCTTTTGTTTTTCATGTTTCACAGGAGAACATCTTAAAAAAAAACACAAAATCCTGAAAAATACCCTGGATGTCACTCAACCCAGAAAACAGCAAAGGATTTTGAAAAAGGTTATATAATGGGACATCTTTATATTTTCCCTTACTCTTTCTGCAGCATGTGTGCTGATTTGACTCTTTCCACCACAATGAAACTGTCATCTCAATTTTTATAGTGAGAAGAATAAGATGGCCATGGCTCAGGGCTGACAAAAACGGAGAGAGGCCGAGAAAGAGCAGCCCCCTGCTCTAACCGTGTTCCACACAGAATACAGGAGACTCTGGAAGGAGATGGTATGATGTCAAGATCTAGTAACACAGTCCAGCATGGAGAGTTCCAGAGCTTGACATAAAGTCCTTCCTGTTTATCAAACCCCCATGGAGAGGCCGGGAATGGTAGCACACCCCTTTAATCTCAATACTCAAGAGGCAGAGGCAGGGGGAACTCTATGAATTGGAGACAAACCTGGCCTACATAGCAAGTTTCAGTCCAGTCAGGGCTGCATAGTGAAACCTTGTTTCAAGAAAAAAGCAAAAACAAATAAAAAACCAAGGCAAGGAACACTTGAGGAATGACTTGTGACATTGTCCTCTGGCCTCCTCATGGGCCCCACATAATCACACAGAGGTCTCCCTCAGTCTGAGACCCTTAGCTGAAGGCCAAGTGGCCTAAAGCTTTCTCTTGTGGTTCATTTGTTCTTCGGAACTCTGGATGTCCTCGTTTAAAGCCGGAGAGGGGTGAGCTTGCCTGAAGCCACCATGCATGAATGCAGCTTTCCCTTCATGGAAGTGGTCTCTTGACAGAGGATGAAGACACCAGCATGGACCAGGAGCTCTCCAGGCATTTAGGAATGAGTACTAGAAAAGCTCCGTGGGCGACACAGATGAAGGTTTGCCTGTTCTGCCTGTTGAAGACTCCTTGGATTTCAGTTGATAATGTAGCAGTTGAATGATGAGAAGGAGGGGCAGAGAATTTGGGGAAGAGCTCTCTCTGTCTCTCTGTCTCTCTCTGTCTCTGTCTCTCTCCTCTCTCTCTCTCTCTGTCTCTCTGTCTCTCTCTCTCTGTCTCTCTCTCCTCTCTCCTTCTCTCTCTCTCTCTCTCTCTCTCTCTCTCTCTACACACACACACACACACTACTCAAACATATACATCACACACTTATTTTTTTCTTTTTGAGAGAGTCTCATGTAGCATTAACCCCTGATCTCCCTGCTCAATCACCCAGTGTGTCACGTGGCTCCTAGCTTCCCAGTGGCTCTCTTTGGCTTTGCTTTATGTATTTATTTTGTAGTGCTAGGGACTGACCCGGGGACCTTGAGTAGTTTGGGTGGAACCTACTGAGCTGAACCCTGGGTCTCCCGGAGCTTCAATAAGAAGAGATGCTTGCTCTTCTAGAAATGTGTTTACAAGTTCTTGGGTCTTAGCTTTTGAATGAAGTGGGATTGGGAAGGAGGTTCATTGTAAAATCAATACCTCTTAGGATTGCCTGGACACCGTGGCTTGAATATATCAAGATGATTGTCAATGAATGTCACTCTTTAGTGACTGGTACCATCAAAGAGGTTGTTGCCATTGTCCTTGGTTACCTCCCAGAACTTGAAGTTAAGCCTTTATTGCTGAAGGCACCACACACATTGGGTATAGTTCATAGAGGAATGGAGATGATGACATTGTTTTAGCTGACCAACAGCTCGTCAGGAAGTCTAGATTGTTTACTCTTTTCCTCTAAACCCCCTCTCTATATATCCAGGACAGTTCAATCTCACTGCCAATTTTCTTCTTTGAGAAATGACTGAAAGATTTTTAAACTATAGATCTTCTAATTTAAGACAGGATCTGTGAGATAACTCAGTACATGTGAGTGTTTGCTGTGCAAACCTGACATCCTGAGTTTGGATTTCCAGAGTTTATGTAAGGATGGATGGAGAGAACACATTCTATAAAACTGTCCTCTGATCTCCACATGCATGATTGTGATATGCTTACCCACATACACTGCATGCTCAGATGCAACAATAAAACTCAATGAGAAAGAGCCTAGCCACAGCCATCTGTATAGAATGACTGTCACCTTCAATCTGCCCATCGTATATATTGTTCAGAAGCCACAGGATTGCTTCCCACATGCTAGCCACGAGTCATCAAGCAATGTCTAAGCATTTTTGAATACCAGGTGTTGTGGTACCCACCTGTAATTCTAGCACCCTGGAGGCAGAAACAGAACAATCTCAAGTTGGAGGCCATTCTGGGTTACACGGTGAGATCCTGAATCTAGAGATTTAGAAAACAAGCAGAAGTAGTGGTAGACTAAAAAATGACTTGGTGTGTTAGCACTCAGGTGTTCTGTACCAGGCTGTCTTTTGGTCCCCAACCAGCTCCCAAATTATGACGTGGAGACTTCTTATTGGATATGAGTGTTCGGCCTTATCTTGTTCATATGCCTGTGTGAGAGTGTCAGTTCTCCAGAATTGCAGTTACAGACAGTTGTAACTTGCCATGTGGATGCTGATAATTGAACCCAGATCCTCTAGAAAAGCAGCCAGTGTTCTTAACCCCTGAGCCATCTTTCCAGCCCCCAATATATACTGCATTCTTCTGAGTGTATTCTAGACTTTTTGGACTTTTCTTTCACTTAGGAAGCAAAGTCCCAACTCTAAGAGTAACCGGTTGCTGACAGTGTCACATTACGACACATCTCCACCCCTTAGTTTTAGGATAAACACATGCATACCTGGCACCTGGGGCCAGTCAAGAGAGCCACTGGACTCATCTGCAGTCTCTGCTGGGCTCCTGGAAATCCATGCAAACCATGGCTTGAGAAGAGTTCATTTCCATCAACAGAGCTCACATCATGTGAGTTGGCAGCTGATTTGTCTAGAAACTATGCCTCTCGATTTTTCTCTGGGGTTACTTAAATGTTCGTCTACACTGGACTCATCCAGAGAGTTTTAGAAATTATAGCCAAGGGCTGCAAGATGGCTTAGTGGGCAAAGGTGCTTGTGGCCAAGTCTGATGGTCTTAGTTCAACCGCTGGGACCCACATGGTAGAAGGGGAGAACTGACTCCTGAGAGCTGTCCTCTGTCCTCTACTCCTGAGGATGACTCCTGAGAGCTGACCTCTGTCCTCTACACCTGAGAATGACTCCTGAGAGCTGTCCTCTGTCCTCTGTCCTGAGAATGACTCCTGAGAGCTGTCCTTTGCCCTCTGCACCTGAGAATGACTCCTGAGAGCTGTCCTCTGTCCTGAGAATGACTCCTGAGAGCTGTCCTCTGTCCTCTACACCTGAGAATGACTCCTGAGAGCCGTCCTCTGTCCTCTGTCCTGAGAATGACTCCTGAGAGCTGTCCTCTGTCCTGAGAATGACTCCTGAGAGCTGTCCTCTGTCCTCTACACCTGAGAATGACTCCTGAGAGCTGTCCTCTGTCCTCTGTCCTTTGTCCTCTGTCCTCTGTCCTGAGAATGACTCCTGAGAGCTGTCCTCTGTCCTCTACACCTGAGAATGACTCCTGAGAGCTGTCCTCTGTCCTCTGTCCTGAGAATGACTCCTGAGAGCTGTCCTCTGTCCTCTGTCCTGAGAATGACTCCTGAGAGCTGTCCTCTGTCCTCTACACCTGAGAATGACTCCTGAGAGCTGTCCTCTACACCTGAGAATGACTCCTGAGAGCTGTCCTCTGTCCTGAGAATGACTCCTGAGAGCTGTCCTCTGTCCTCTACACCTGAGAATGACTCCTGAGAGCTGTCCTCTGTCCTCTGTCCTGAGAATGACTCCTGAGAGCTGTCCTCTGTCCTCTGTCCTGAGAATGACTCCTGAGAGCTGTCCTCTGTCCTCTGTCCTCTGTCCTCTGTCCTGAGAATGACTCCTGAGAGCTGTCCTCTGTCCTCTACACATGAGAATGACCCTGAGAGCTGTCCTCTGTCCTCTACACCTGCACCGTGACAGGAATGCCCCCTCCCACATTATTTTAAAGACAAGAGAGCCAGATGGATCTCCAATTTGTAGGTTTGGATTGGGTTTCTGGGAATTTTCATTGCTACTAAGTCTCTAAGTTAGTCTTTTGTTGACCCAGGGATAACACTTTGGGAAGCATTTCCCCAAACCAACTTTATTGATTCTGATTAACTTCTGGACAGTGATAGGTTTAAAATAGCATTAAAAGTAGTTAAACAACATCAGGTGGAGGTGATATTTAATTAAGATAGATTAAGTAAATTGAATAAATTAGCCCAATTTAAAATGTGACCAGATAAATTTAAATACCATTGGGTAAATGCAAAAATACCGTCCATCAGTGATAACAGCACACACACAGGTTCTATGAAAATCGGGGGAGAAAACCAAGAGTCGGGGAAGTTTGTGACTTTCTTGCTCCCGAAAACTTTCAAATTATGTAGGAAGAAATTGAGGTGGTGAATTATGCACACTTGCATTGATAATACTGTAGAAGGAAGTCATATTAGGGTGCATTATTTTATTAGGCCAGCGCTATTATGAGCCAAAGTACAGTCCTTGTAGCCTGATGTGAGCTCTATGTGCTGACATGGCAGGGCTTAGCCCTGCCTCTCTTTGTTTTATTTTTTTGAGACAGGGTCTCATGTAGCCGAGGCTGGCCTCAAACACATTTTTTTTTTCAGCCAAAGGTGGCCTTAAACTTCTAATAATCTTCCTGGCTCCAACTCTTGAATGCTTGGGCTACAGGTATATACCATCACAACTGCTTTATTCAGTGCTGGGATCAAGCCCAGGTCTGTTCACCTTAGGAAGTGCTCCGGCAACTGAGCTCCACCTCCAGCCCCCCTTCCCGGTATCCGTTGACTCTGGAAAAGTGCGGAGCTCTGTTACACACTGGGTGACGGACTGAACGCAGCAGAGGGAGTCACGTGATGCGGAGGCATTGCAACCGGTGTGTCAGTTTAATCAGAACCACAAAATAGAGCCCAGGATAAGTGCCTGGGATTGCGGGCTGGGGAAATGAGAAAACATGTAGCAGCAGAGGTGATTTTGAGCAACAGAACGTTTCAGAACAGGACTGTGAGCTGTTGTGTGTTTGGGGTAACCAGTGGTTGTGGTCTGAGTTGCCCACCCACCTCCAAGACTCACGGGTTGGAAAGTTACCACTGTTGCACTGGCGTTGGGAGGTGGACCCTGAAGGGAGATGTCGTGAGGGTGAGTGGATGGCCGCCACACTTAAAAGGGCTTCTGCGTCACGGGGGAGGGATGGTGCCCTTCGCATCTGGAGGATGCAGCCTCCAGG